TTTTATATATATATAAAAAATCTAATATATATTAGATTTTTACAACCCCTGGTAAGCCCCAATTATGGGAGGAAGCTAACTGCTTCCAATCCCAGTAAGGGTATGGCTAGCTGATGAGAGCTAAATAGCTTGAAATAGATCTATACTAGTCTCCCTTTATTTATTTATCAGCACAAATAAACACACACACACACACACACACACACACACACATATATATATATATATATATATATATATATAAGATTTTTACAACCCCTGGTAAGCCCCAATTATGGGAGGAAGCTAACTGCTTCCAATCCCAGTAAGGGTATGGCTAGCTGATGAGAGCTAAATAGCTTGAAATAGATCTATACTAGTCTCCCTTTATTTATTTATCAGCACAAATAAACACACACACACACACACACACACACACACACACACACATATATATATTTTTTTACAACCCCTGGTAAGCCCCAATTATGGGAGGAAGCTAACTGCTTCCAATCCCATTAAGGGTATGGCTAGCTGATGAGAGCTAAATAGCTTGAAATAGATCTATACTAGTCTCCCTTTATTTATTTATCAGCACAAATAAACACACACACACACACACACACACACACACACACACACACACACATATGATGTTTCCTGTTCTATTTTGGAGTGGGGGAGCAGCTAAAAATTATAGCAGAGTCATGTGTCCATTCTACAACAGTCGTCTTTACATTCTAGATTGTAAAAGAGTTTTATGCAAATCAATGCAGTTTTCAAATTATTCACAAAATTGAGACATTTTTATTAGGGTGAAATTATATATGCAGCCACGGTTACAAAATATTGTTCCATCTTATCCTTTCAGTATCCTAAAAAATATGAAGAATGGTTACAGGAACTAGGTATGTCTAGTTTAATGAATAGAAGGACTAGGGGAGAAATGATAGCAGTGTTCCAATATCTCAAGAACTGCCACAAAAAAGAGGGAGTCAAGCTATTCTCCAAGGCACCTGAGGGTAGAAAAAGAAGCAATGGGTGGAAATTAATCAAGGAGAGAAGCAACTTAGAACTAAGGAGACATTTTCTGACAGTTAGAACAATTAATCAGTGGAACAACTTGCTTCCAGAAGTTGTGAATGCTCCAATACTAGAAGTCTTTAAGAGGATGTTTGATAACCATTTGTCTGAAGTGGTGTAAGGTTTCCTGCCTAAGCAGGGGGTTGGACTAGAAGACCTCCAAGGTCCCTTCCAACTCTGTTATTCTATTCTATTCTAGCATGCTTTATCCTAGCTTTTATTTCTTGTATGTATAACTCTTCCTGTTTCCTCCCATTCCCCTGCAGGACTCCCATTAAGTAGAGGGTCTTCTTTCCAAGATACAGAGACAGACTCCTCCGGAGCCCCTCTGCTTAAAATGCATTGCTGAGAAACGTAGACCTGGCAAATCCGCAGAAGCAGTGAGGTCTTTAAGTGTGCCTCACGAGAGACCAGTTCAGAAGCGATGGACGATGGAGTCAGATGCAAGCCATCCCACAACTGTGCCATCCAAGGAATCCTTGATTTCTCTTGCCATTTTTCCAAGGTTGATCCTGCTGTAGACTTGCTTTTTTTAAGATGACTATTGGTGCTTTTTTGACCATTTCCTTGGCGATGTTGATCTCTTGCTTCAGAAGGGAACAGAAATGATGTAGCAGTTACAGCTTTTTGCACATATCCTTTCCTTTAACCATTCTAGCTCTCCCCTTACCCTTGTCAAATTAAAACCGACCTCTGCATTTCCCTTTCCAGAATAAAAAAGATCTTCTGCCTTTCGGGCTTATTCATCCAACAGGCTTATCTGTTACTGACTTGACATTCATTTTCTCATTTGGAATTCAGATTTGATTGTTCTCATGCAATTCCCCATAGGACTTAAAAAATGCACTCTTCATTGTAAATAGTTCGCCAGGACTCTTGAGGGTGAGACGTTGTTGATTTAGGAAGATGACAATTCCTCCGTTTGAAATCTTCAAAAACTCTCGCTGTCTTTCCTGTAGTTTAATTTTATTCTCTTTTCTTTTTTCCCCTGCCTCGTTTGAACCATAGGGGTGCCTAAATTGGAAATGGAAAGTTTGATTTGGGGAGGGGGGGAGCTGTTACTGCATCTTAGGGTATTTTGATTTCTACAGTGCTTTGGTGGTGTTTTTTTTTTTTTAAGCAAATAAAATTGTACTTAAACAATGAATGTTGAAAAGTCACCCCCTTTGTCTCATACAAAGGGACTAATTTAATGGCTAGACGTTGTGAGAGGTTGTAATTCAAACAAAACTGGAGAATACACCAGGGCAGAGAAATATAATTTAAAGGATGGCACCTGAGAAAGGAATAGATTGTTCTCCTTTCTTTTCTTTTCTTTTTTTTTTAGTAAATAAAGATTTTGCACAGTGCTCTAGTGGTTGCTTCTGGCTCCATTGGGAAATAAAATATGACTCACATATATATATAAAAATGTAATTTGGCATCAACAGTATTGCTATAAAGAAGTGAGATATCATTAATATGTTCTTACTTGAAAGTTGTTTAAGAAATGTTGCCTGCTTCTTTCTCTACCAAAATGACGCAGTCCATAAAATGTATCTTACAGGAGCAAATAGTCTGACATAGGAAGTCCACGGCTAGTTGACTTCCTTCTTGCTTCCTGCTTGTTGGTATTTAGAGGTAGGTCATCTCAAATTCTTGAAAAAGCAGGTGTAATAACTGTTCACTATAATGAAGAGCATACAATCTAGACAGCATAGTAAAAAGCAGAGACATCACCCTGCCAACAAAAGTGCCTATAGTCAAGGCTGTGATTTTCCCAGTTGCAATCTATGGCTGTGAAGGTTGGACCATAAGAAAGGCTGAGCGCCAAAGAATGGAGGCCTTTGAACTATGGTGCTGGAGAAGACTCCTGCGAGTCCCTTGGACTGCAAGGTTATCCAACCGGTCAGTCCTAGAGGAGATCAACCCTGACTGATCTTTAGAAGGCCAGATTCTGAAGAGGAAACTCAAATTCTTTGGCCACCTAATGAAAAGGAAGGACTCACTGCAGAACAGCCTGATGCTGCAAACGATTGAGGGCAAAAGAAGGGGATGACAGAGAAATGAGGTGGCTGGATGGAGTCACCCAGAGGTGGGTTCCTACCAGTTCGCACCTATTCGGTAGAACCGGTTCATCAAATCTACCGAACCGGTTAGAAGAGGTTCCATCAGTGGACCCGGAAAGCAGGCCACACCTACAGAAGAGGTTCCCAAAAATTTTTGAAACCCACCACTGCCACACAGACAGACAGACAGACAGACAGACTGACACAGAGAGAGAGAGAAAGAGAAAGAAAGGAAGAAAGAAAGAAAGAAAAAAAGAAAGAAAGAAAGAGATGAAAGAAAAAAAGAAAAAAGGGACAGAGAGACAAAAGGAAAGAGAGAGAGAGAGAGAGAGAAAGAAAGAAAACACATGGCCGGCAAGCCACTCCCACAAAGGAGGCCACACCCACAGAGTAGGTTCCAAACTTTTTTGAAACCCACCACTGGAGTCACCAAAGCAGTAGGCATGAACTTAAATGGACTCCAGAGGATGGTAGAGGACAGGAAGACCTGGAGGAAAGCTGTCCATGGGTCACAATGGGTTGGACACGACTTTGCAACTAACAACATAATGAAGAGCTACTAAAATAATTTATTAGTATTATTACACAACTGCTACTATTTCTACTTCTGCCTTGAAATGACCTGCAGACATTGTGAAGATGATCTGTGGACACCTTCGTTGCCGGCAATTCTTAACACATTAGAAAACACCATAAGAGTCAGCAGTCATTTCAACTAATCAATAGAAGACAGCAAAGAAGGGTGTTCAGTTGATATTTCTCTTCATCCATTAGCTTTAACTCATGTATTATTGCTTGGTAATTTAAACAGCTGAGTGGTTAGCTAAATGTCTGTGGAGATTCTCAGTCATCCACCTTCATGAGCTGAAGAAGCTTCTTGGATGAGAAGCTAAATGTCTTTGAAGAAAAACAAAGTCCATGTCATACCAGCCTCCCTCAGCAACCAAGAAAGAAACCACTTAACTCTATTTTGCAGAATTAAGAGTACTTTTACTGGGTATGAGTAGATAGCAGCCAAGCAAAGCAAGGTCTGAGGCAAAAGCGCACGTAATCATAGATATCAATAGGTGACCCAACCCCCTCCCCCTGGTAACCCCATCCCACAGTCCAATCCTCACAACCCTCGGGTGTCATGTGGGTTCCATCTTCAAAACGCATCATCATGTTGGTATGCAGGACAGTTAGCCTTGGCGGGCTCATCTCCAGCATGCTCAGTAGATGGTGAGAACAAAACTCCCTATTAACAATCTCTCCTGTACTTAAAACTTCCCTTCCCAAATACCATGCCCCCCCCTCCCCATTTCAATGACAGCCGAAAGCAAGTAGTGAAGCAGAGGCTGACAATCCAGTTGCCTCTTGAAAAAGCACTTTTTGGGACAGCTGGATGGTTACTGTGAGGGGAAGACGTAAAATAACAAAGCTGCTATACCTCTTCGCAATTGGAAGACCTATTTTGCCTGACTCTTTCAGGGATGGGTCATAAACATAGGAAGCAGACGAGTAACGTTTTCACCAGTGGGAAAGCAGCCCACTCAGAAACCCTGCAAAGATGCATTGTTGGAAACAAAAACATTATTTTTGGGGGGGGGGGTATTTAAGATACACTGCAGCTTCATACCTAAAGCAAGACTAGAATTCACAAATCTCCTGGTTTCTAGCCTGATGCTACTAACTAAACTAGTGCTGTAGTGTAGCTCAGCCAGAAATAATCTGATTCTAGTATCAAACCCAGACGATCATATGAGATCGTCTGCTACTTCTGGGAGTGGTGGATAGATTGCTATTTTGATTTGAAGATTTGGAAGTGGCCAGTGCCAATTATTTGCAGGGCTGAACGGGGGAATGATGCTGGACCCTACATTGCTCCAGAGAAAGTCAGAAACTACTACAGCTCCACTATCAAATATAGCAATAGCAATAGCAATAGCAGTTAGACTTATATACAGCTTCATAGGGCTTTCAGCCCTCTCTAAGCGGTTTACAGAGTCAGCATATTGCC